TTGCCGTTTCAAAAAGGGAAGTAAAAGTGTAGTGATCATGCACACAATCCAGAGATGTTTTCCCAGATATGTTCACTTTGGAAACAAGGACTGAAGCAGGAGGTGTGGCACCATAGGCCCCGCCCATGTGCCGTGCCCCACCCACGCCCCGCCCCAGGCCCCGGTCTGGCTGGCTCCCGGCCCATGGCCCCGCCCCATGCCTGGCCCCGCCCATCTGGCTTCCCGCCCCTCTCATCCCTCAGTCTGTGCCCAGCTGTCACTGTGGCTTTCCTTCCTGCCAGATGGAAAAACTAACCAAATCTTTCTGAGCAATAATCCTAAACCCTGCCTTCGTGGAGAGCTACAAAAAGTAACTCCTGTAAATTCCCTGAATCAGCCACCTCCTCATAATGACACGGTTGTCATAAAAAAAAAAAAAACGTAACTACTACGAATAAATAGTTCAACTGGGCCTAAACAAATGGCCACAAATGATAAACTTAAGGGTTGTTAAAATTCTTGTTGACTGCTTGTCTTTCGGTAGAATCTCTCACCCATAGTGATGTTTCCTTTCTCTGGCACCCCAGCTTGGTGCTGTTTTGGACCAAGAAGCCCCAGATAAGAACCTCACAGCTGAGTGTGATGAAGTGTAAAACGTCGTGAACGGATTTTCCCAGAAGAGGAAAGTGAATCATAGCTGTGCATTGGCCTAAGGAAAGACCTTCAGAATTTCAATGGTTTTTTTTTTCCTCCTGTGTCAGAAAGGTGGAACGTGTCCCACCCGTGACCTTTGGCCTCTTGGATCAGTGTTGGGCCTTCGGACCCTTCCAGACCCTGAGCAGCTGTCATTTTTGTGGAGAAACCATGGGCCCGACCTGGAACGTTCTCGCCAGCCTGTATTCCCAGAACGAACACCCTCACGGCTCCGCAGGCTGTATACTGCGTCCTTCGGACCCTCCAGTGGGTGTCCACTCCGTGGGGAGGGAAAACCGAGTCCTATTTGGCATTCTTTTCCGTTGGCGTATTCCCCTCGGGTGTGCATATTGTACGCCCCAGAGCCAGGAGACTGTGTGCTGCACCCTGTGGGAGATGGAGCTGCCGGGACGGAAGAGGCATCCAGCCCCTGCTTCTGTGCAGAAATCCGAAATGCCACGTGTTAGTCTTCCACTGCTAGGCAATAAATCACTGCAGACGCAGTAGCTAAAACCAACACACACATATTCCCTCGCGGCTCCCGGGGGCCAGAAGTGCAGGCACACTTGGCTGGGTCTGCCCAGGCCTCCGCAGGCTGCACTTGAGGTTTGGCCGGGGCTGTGGTTCTCGTCTGAGGCTCAGATCCTCCTCCAGCTCCTCCAGGCTCTTGGTGGGACTCAGCTCCAGGGGTGGTTGGACTGAGACCCCGAGCTCCTGCTGGCTGAAGGCCAGAGGCCACTCTGGGCTCCTGGCTCTGGCCACATGGCCCCTCCTTGCCCTCGGACACTTCCTGGGTGTGACTTCCTGCCTGTGTCCTTGGGCCCCGATTTAGGGGGCTGCTGTGGCCCTGCCCCCACCTCACTCAGGGCTGGGGATCTCGGGCCATCTCAGAATCAGCCACCACCTGGGGTGGCACCTGTCCGGAAAGGAATGTGACGTGGGCAAACTACACAGTGCTCCTTCCTAAACTTTCTGTGAACAAGCCCATAGTGTCGAGGACCCGGACGATCTTAAACCTGATAATAAATAACACAACTCCAGTGTCTCAGGAGAGGCCTGCAGATCCTAAGGAGGCCGGCGTCAGCCCGGGCGGGGCTGGAACTCGGGAGGCCTTGGGGTGATGCTGGAGACTTGTCCGTGGAGAGAAGAGTCCCCTATCCTGTCCACCCCGAAGCATATCCACAGAGACAGGAGGAGACGGCACACGCGCAGATCACTGACGTTTGGGGCATAGAAACCCAGGGATGACTGGGACCAGGAGGCGGCGTCCCTGAGGTGTCGGTGGGGTTTAGTTGTCTTGCCTTTCTCAGTACCCTTGGCGGCGGGCGGGGAGAGTGCGGGGCCTGCTGGCTGGCGCCAAGACCCTCGGCCGCCTGCTCGCTTGGCGGCCGCCATTCTCTCTCCCTGCTAGACGCCTGTGAAAATAAAGTCCAAGGTCGAGGTGCCGGAGGGCTGGTGTCTCTTGAGGTCACTGTCTCCGGCCTGCGGATGTCACATGGTCTTCCCTCCGTAGACATGCAGGTGTCTCTGCCTCCTCTTCCAAGGACACCCATCCCTTGGGTGAGGTCCCCCCCTGTGGCCTCATTGCCACTCTCTTTTCTGAAAGCCATCGGTCCAAATGCAGGTGCTGAGGGAACGATAAACAGGGTGCCCTCCCCGTATAGCATACGCTGTATGTAATATATATCGTATATAATCATTGTATTGGTGTAGCTATGATACATAATCACAAAATAGAGTCCTATTAACATATACTATTTATAACATATAGAGTTATTATAGGTTACGTATAATACTGTCGAATACATATATGTGTACCGTATTTTGCTGTGTATAATGCTCACTCTTTGCCCAAATGTTTGAGGGGGAAATAAGGATGCACATTATACATGGATAGTACTGATTCCGTATCTGCTTTATATATGTGTAAATACAGTAAATTTGTTACCGGGACCTAAAGTCTTATTGTACCTTGTGTCTGTTCTTGTGTGTTTTGTAATTATTCGCTCCATAAAATTTCTCGTACCATAGTATGTTAAAAAATTAATGCTAAAATTTCTTCGTAATACAAAAGGCAAGTGTCCAAATTTAAATACGTAAAAATTGAATTAAAAAATTGAAGCAGAAGGGGTTTTTTTTTCCTGGAAGTTTGGGCGAAAAATGTGAGTGTGCATGACACAGAGCAAATACGGTACACCTGTAACTGTGCGTGTAATAGAGCATGTGAAATATGTATGACGCCCTGAATATAATGGATACTAATTTCACATAATAAAAACAAACAGGAAAGAGGTAAGCAGAGATGTTGCAGGGATGAGTGTGGGACCCAGGCCAGCTCTGAGTGCTCCGCACCCGGGGGACTTATGTGCCACATCTGGTCTCTTGAGGCCATGACAGGGTCCCGTCTGGTTGCCCGTCTTTCCCAAGAGATCCCTGAACCTGGGTCTCCGAGGGCCCTGCCTCTGTAGGGACCCCTGCGAGCTGCGGGCCTTTTCACAGGCGAGGCCAGGCCCACTCAGTGCCGAATGCGGAACTTCCCGGCGCGCCCCTGCGTCCTCACCCACACTGTCCCCAGAGCCTCCCCACCGTCACCTGGGTCTCGAGGCGCATCCGGGGCTGTGGAGGGGTCTCCTTTGGCGATCAAATGCCTGCACCAACGTTAACTTTTAAAATGCTCTCTGGCCCTGAAGAGCATGGCTCGGTGGACTGGGTGCCGTCTCACAAAGCGAAAGGTCGCCAGTTCAGTTCCCAGTCGGGGCACGTGCCGGGGTCGTGTGTTCGATCCCCAGTTGGAGCACCTAGGAGAAGCAACCCATTAATGATGTTTCTCTCCCTCTCTTTCTCTTTCCCTTCCCCTCTCTCTGAAAGTAAATCCATAAAATCTTTTCCAAAATGGGCTCCGAAGGGGCAGGTGAGCAAATGCTTCAACCCTGCAGGCCGCTGGGAAGCGTCCCTATTTTCCGGGGGTTCCATCAGTGGAATGGTTACGGTTAAGGCAAACGGAACACAGGCAGCACCAGGAGCCTGCCCTCCGTCCCCATCATCACCCCCCGCCTGTCCCCCTGCCGGTCCAGGTCCACCCGTGTCCTGGAAGCTCCTGCCACACCCAAGCCTGTGCAGCTCATGCTCAGAGTGCCCGCTGCCCTCCTCTGTGACAAATGGTGATTTAGCTTCTGGAAACTTCCAACTCTTTTCCATGGGCACCCCACCAGTGGTCAGGAGAAAACTAAGCAGCTGCTGCTTGCAATGTTATAAGGCCAAGGTCTGCCCTTCAGGAAAGTGGGAACATGGTGGAGTGTCCACAGCAGAGACATAGGGCTGTGCCTTATCTCAGAGCCCGGTGACCGTGGGCTGGAGCCTGACAGGACTTTGTCACAGCTGGAGAGCATCCTTGCAGGACGCCAGGCCTTGAGGGGCGTGTTGGGTTGGCCTGGGAAGAGTGTTTTTTGTGCTCACACCGGACACCTAACTCTGCAGCCCCCCACGGGGTGCGGCTACCTCGTGGTTTGGTCTTGCCCTGTATTGATCTCCAAGGACAGAGTTACATCGAATTTACCTTTGCTGGCCCTGGGAACCAAAGCTTGCTTTGCATGCAGTCGATGGGTGGGTCTTGAGTTAGGGGGACACAGGAAAATAGGGGCTTCAGATAGAAGGGGAAACTTCTCAGCATCTGGGGGGCAGCAGCTGGTGAGGAGTCTCTCGGAGTTTGCCCTGGTGCCCTCAAACCCACGGCGTGAAATAAACAGGTGTGTGAAACTGTCAGCGTTTCTCGCAAAGCTCCGGCAGAGTCGGACACGGTCCCCAAGACCCAAACTCACCCCCTGCACTCGGGTTCCTTGGGAACTTTGTTTTATGGAGTGTGGGGACCCGATCAGTCGGAAGGTAGTGAGTGGTGAAAGTGAAATGTGTTTCCTTGTGTTATTTTTTTCCTCAACAGTATCACCAAGGGGCTTTTTTAAAGTTTATTTATTCATGTTTAGAGAGAGAAGGAAAAACAACAACAATTTGTTGTTCCATTCATGCGTGCATTTATCCGTGGCTGCTTGTACGTGCCCTGACTGGGGACTGAACCCACAACCTTAGTGGAGCAGGACAAAGCTCCGACCAATCATCAGCCTTGTGTCTCCGTGAATTTGCCGGTTCCGGGTGTTTCATGTATATGGAGTCATGCTACCTGTGGCCTTTGTGCGAGTTCTTTTTAAAACACTTTCTGTTGTGGAGACACTCAACGTACCAGGAAGTCTTCCGAGTTGTTCAGTGAGCTCCGCGTGCCCAGTCTCGGCCATTCCGCCTCCCGCCGGCCGTGCTAACGACAGTCTCCTCCGCAGGGAAGAAAAGCAGTACGTGAGCCGATTCTGGAAGGACCTCCGCGTGGGCGACTTCGTGCGCCTCCGCTGCAACGAGATCATCCCCGCGGATATTCTGCTGCTGTCCTCCAGCGACCCTGACGGGCTCTGCCACATCGAGACCGCCAACCTGGACGGGGAGACCAACCTGAAGCGGCGGCAGGTGGTCCGGGGCTTCTCGGAGCTCGTAAGTGACCCGGGGTCCCCCAGGCGTCCCAGGCCCCGGGGCCCCAGGCTGGCCCTCGGGGCCCCAGAGCTCCTGCACCCCCTCCATCAGGCCGAGCTGCTTGTCCTGGGTGACGAAGGCCGGACCCAAGGCCTGAGGGGATCCCTGACGTGCCTGAGCCCTGACCGGTCTGTGGCTGCGGGAATGGAACTGCATTGTTGTTGTTTTTATTAATCTTCACCCAAGGATGTTTTATTTTTAATGATTTTAGAGAGAGGATGGGATTGAGAGAGAAACCTCAATCAGTTGTCCCCCATACACGCTCTGACCAGGAATTGAACCCACGACCCTTTCGATGTATCGGAGGATGCTTCAACCAACTGAGTGCCCTGGCCAGGGCAGGACTTGGTTTTTATGATTCCGATTTCCACTGTCCACCTTCGAGTTTCTCAGACCTGTGTTTGGGGTCCCTTTAAAGTTACCGGGAACACTGTGACCCCCTGGCTGCTGGCGCTGACCCAGCTGTTGCCTGAGGAACAGCCCGTTCCTAGCACATGGCTCCTCCAGGGTGTTCGTGACCTCTGCATCCCTGAGTTCCGCAGACAGAGGAGCATCGGCCACAGCCTGGGCCGCGTGAGCGTGACTAGGAAGGGAGGTGGGCTCGGACCACCTTCACTCCCCAGCCACCTCCTGCCTGGAAATTTGAGTCCCATCAGTGTGTCTAACCACCTGTCCCCGCCCCGCCCTTGCCAGGTCTGTGCAGGGTGCGGGGGGAGCAACCCCAGTGCCCGTGGTCCTTGGGGATGTGGAAGTGTCTGGAAGGGCGTGGGCTGGTCCTTGAGGCTGCTCCAACTCCCGCTCTGTCCTGCGTCCTGAGCCCACACTGAAGGAAGCTTGAAGAAATGCCCAAGGGTCAGGGCACACACCTGGGCTGCAGGTTTGATTCCCGGTCTGGGCACGTACTGGAGGCAGCCGATCCGTGTTTCTCTCACGTGGATGTTTCTCTTCCTCTCTCGCTCATTCTCTTCTTCTCTTGCTCTAAAATCAATTTAAAAAAAAAAGACATTTCCTGGGTGAGGATTAAAAAAAGGAGAAATGCCTAAGACCAGGAGCTTCTGTGGTTCAGGAAAGATGGGACCCGGAAGGTTTTCCAATGTCACCCGCTGGGTGTCAATCACTGCCACCCACTGGGGGATTTCCTCCCTCTGCTGGGGACCCTCTGCGCTCCCGCAGGGGAGCCGGCCTTGGAGTCGGGACCCTGCTGGCATTTGGGGCGAGGGGTCCATTAGGCAGGGGTGTTGGGGGCCGCGTCCCTGCCTCCCCATCACGCGTGTCTCTGGCCACGTGCTTGAACTGACCGCCAGCATCTGGCTTACACCTCTGTGCACTCACTTCACCACAGTTTCCTCATTTTCACCTTCTTTCACGCTAAGTATATGCTTGTGAGCTTCCTCAAATCTTTCTTGGAATGAGGCAAATCGTGCCAAAAATTAAAGTGTGGTTTTTTTTCAATGGGGCACTCTTCCCCCAAATTAGGGAAGCTGGTGAAGTGTTGGTTAGGGACCCTCAAGGCCAAGTGCAGGCGGTTTCCAGGTTCCCCGCTGATGGGCTCCGGGGTCTGGTAATGAACCTGGCCCGCTGTTCTTCGCTGCCCTCCCACCTGCGCCCCCAGCTGCTGCATGGCCTCCTAAGGTCGACCTCACGCCGGGTTTCACCATGTGGCTCCCAGAACCGAGTTCTTAGCCATACTCCGGGACACAGAGCTGTGTGTGGACTAAGCCGAGACCAGCCAGGGGACAGTCCCCGCTCCGTTCTAGCGATCTCAGCACAGGGTCAGTGGGAAACAGAGGCAGGCTTGGACGTCACCCTGTGAGAGGGGCAGCCTCACGAGGAGGGGGCCGCCTGTCACCTGAACAGCGGTGCACGGGAGCGCACAACGGGTGATGCTCCGGCTGGCGCACAGAGTCCGGTGAACGTCACACCTGGAGAGCAGAGCCCTGGGTGGGGGGGTTGGAGTGCGGGGCCAGCAGGGCCCCCTAGGAGTCTCGCTGGTCCACTCTCAGGAGTAAGCCTCTGCTTCCTGTCTCCTGGTTTTGTCAGCCACTGACACCCGGGTGATATTTATCCAAAAGCTTCGCCTGCCCACGCTCCCGCAAACAGCAGCGGCCACACTTCAGAGCTCAGGGACGCTTTATAACAAACGCGGTTTGCAAAGCGTTTGCAAGTTGCACGTTAAAAATGCACCAGTAGCTGCAGACAGACAACTACTGCGGGGCCCGAGAATGCGTGAGGAAGGAGATGGAGTTGAGCTGTCATTTAGTCAAAGCTGCTGAAATTACCATCCAAAGCCATTCGGATTTCAAAAAATATTCTTGGCACCCAAAGTCTTCAGTATGCACGCACATTCTAGACCCTGTTTGGGGTATATTTTTTCACTTTCTGTTTTATTCCCCTCTTTCCTTGAATGTCTAAAGACATTTTTATTGTACCATTTCCTATATTGTTCTGAAATTTATTATTATTATTATTATTATTATTATTATTATTAAATACATGAACCACCCCAGGAGAAATAAAGATCATACTCTCCGGCCTCCAGAAGCCCAGCAATCGGAAAGCCAGCCCTCCAGCTCTGTGCACAGTGTGGGGTCAGCTAGTGTCCCCTGCAGGGGCAGGGCCACCCCGGTCACACTCGGAGCCCTGTGTGGTCACTATGATGAGTGGGGGCTCCTGAGGGGACTTCAATGTGATTGGCACAACTGAGGGAGGCCTTGGCATTCAGCGGGGACTGGGTGCGTCCGTCAGGGTCCGGCAGGGAGGAGAAACCACTGTGCTGCGTCAGGGGCAAGTCTGATGTGACGAACTCTGGGGAGGGGCTGAGCTAGCCCCAAGGGTGCAGTGCCCCCCCCCACAGCTGACTCTGTGCCCACGGCATGGCAGAGAAGCTGCAGGGGCTGTGCCAGCCAGAAATGGACCCTGAGGGGCTCGGGGAGCCACCTGCAGGGAGGTGCCGGGCTGGGGAACCTGGGAGGTGTCAGGGCCAGCTGCTGGCTGCCGGGCACTGCTGGAGCCCTCTGTGCTCGGCCCTGGCCGCTGCCATGGACAGAGGCTAGGGTGGGAGGGGGGTCCACGAGCCCTCGAGAAAATCATGCCTTGTGTCCTCCTCCTGGACAAACCTGGAGGCACCAGACAGTGAAGAATAAAATCACACACCCCCTCACTGGAAGGCCAGCCCCTGCCGCCAGCCATGTCACTCTAGCGCCCTCTGCTGACAAGGCACAACGTAACCGGTCTTTCCACCTCTTCTCTCCAGAAGTGCTTTAGGACGGGCCTGTTTGCTGATGGAAAGGTGCTAAGAAACAGGCACGTGGACTCCCAGGTCAGGGGGGCTTCCGGAAGGAGGGGCAGAGTCATGCTGTGAAGGCTAGGATGGGGAGGGTCGGAGTGCAACCCATGGGAGGCAGGCACACAGGTCAGAAGATGTCTCAGAGGTGGACGTAGGAGTTTATTTAGTGAAGAGCATTAGACAAACAGAATGGAGCGGCCAGAAGCTGGACCGCGGGGCATCTGTGGCCTGTCCAGGCCCCCAAATCCAGTGGCTCCAGGAACTTAAAACACTCAGCAACCCTCTGGTCTCAGGCAAAGGAGACATAGATAGTGGGACTTCAAATAAACTTCTATAAAACTTGGGCCCGGGCCTGGCCGTGTGGCTCAGTTGATTGGAGCATCATCCATGCACCAAAAGGTTGTGGGTTCGATTCCCAGTCGGGGCACGAACAGGAGGCAACCGCTCGCTGTTTCCCACCTGGATGTTTCTCTCCGCCCCTCCCCACCCACTTCCTTTCCCTCTCTGAAAGCGTGGTAGACGTTTTCAAAGTTGGACCCAAACACCAGACATGAAACTATCACAGTAATAACTCCTGGGTGTCCTCGCTTCATGCCTCACATCCGTAGTCCCACAGACATTTAAAAACGCTATGCATATTTCTGTGTACAAATCTTGTGAGGTCAACATTTCCACACCCTTTTATGGACAAGAAACAGAAAAGGTGAAGTGAGGAGACTCTGCCCAGGTGTCCCGAACCAGGGCGGATGCGGGGGCCAGTTCTGGCTTCTGCCACCTGCTCGGGTGGCATCGGGGCGGCGGGGGTGTCCTCCAGCGTCCGGGTCTTTGCGGGACGCCGGGCATCCGCGCAGACGTGCAGCCCTGCGTGTGAAGCTGCATGCGTTCAGCCTGTACGTGAGTAAAGAAGTTTCTAGTTCATCTGTCACAGCTGGACAGTCATTTCTGCAGCATTAGGAGCTTTCTAGGGGGCTAATCTTACTTCAAAATCATTTTTCCCAGAGACTCATTTAAAAAAAATTTTTTTTTTCAGTTTTTCAACCAGTTACTGGGCTCCAAACACAGTTCTGGGCACCGTACCGATGAAAACAAGCAAGCACCCTGGGGCCCCTGTGGGGTTCCTACGACCCGTGCAAATAAGTTAGGCAGGAGGTGAGCGAGCCATAGGGGTTGAGTAAATGATGCGGCGTGAAGTGGCAGGTCACATCTAGGAGGTGACTTCTGTGTTGGTTAATTTATTGACCAAAAATGACCCCCCAGGCCTTGGCGGGGTAGCTCCGTTGTCCTGATGCGTCAAGGTTGCAGGTTCAATTCCCGGTCAGTGCACATACAAGAAGCAACCAATGAGTGCGTCAGTAAGTGGAACAACAGATCGATGTCTCTCTGTTTCTTCCTGTCTCTTTCAAAATCAATACATTTTTTTTAAAAAGTCCTTCCAGTTTCTCTCTTGGAAGGACCTTTGGGATTAGTGCCCACATCCCAGAGGCAGACACCCCCGGGGCCATCTGCTCCTCACTGGTGAGGTTGGAGGGAAGAGCTACCACCGAAGCTGCCAGAGCCAGCTGTTCCCAGGCAGCGTGGGCGTGTGCACGCGTGGGCGTGCGTGCCTGCTGCGTGCTCCTGCTGGGGAAGAAGGACAAGCCTGTCACGGGACTCAAGGGGCCCTCGGCCTGGGATG